TCTAGAGATCATCTAGTCCAACCCCCCTGCACACGCAGGGTCACCTAGAGCACGTGGCACAGGACTGCGTCCAAGCGGGTTTGGAAGATCTCCAGAGGAGACTCCACAACCTCTCCGGGCAGCCTGTTCCAGTGCTCTGTCACCCTGTCAAGAATTTTTTCCTTAACTTCCTGTGGAACTTTTGATGCTTTAGTTTCCGGCCGTTCCCTCTAGTCCTACAGGTGGCCACCACTGAAAAGAGGCCAGCCCCATCCTGCTCCATCCCTCCCTTGAGGTATTTGTATACACTGACCAGGTCCCCTCTCAGGCTTCTGCGGGCTGAACAGGCCTAGCTCTCTCAGCCTTTCGTCATATTTCAGACAATGTTAAAATTTCAAAAATAAGTGAAAGAACATGGAAAGAGTATTTGGGAGCTTTGGGCCTAATAACAAAACTCTAGTCACAGGAACCCTGCTAAGGCTTCTACAATTAGTACAATCTAGTTGCAACTAGTACTGGAAGCCTAGTTATTAATGCAAAGCATAAGTAAGATGACAGCAATAAAAAACAGATGTTACCAAATTTCACAGTCAGTTATTCAGTTAGTACTTCTTTGTAAGAGCTACATTATTGTCCAACAACATATATTCAAATGTTTTGTAATATTTCTTTAGAAAAAAAACTACAGAGTATTATTATTTGTTGTGAATTCTTTAACAGATCTTTCTGTACTTTTCCATCTTGGAGTCCAGTAACTAAATTGTTTTGTCCCCTCATTTCCTCATAATCTCCCCTTGTATTGACTAGTTGATCACTCTTCCAATTAGCAGCAGCAATTTCTGCCATTTTATTTCACAGTCCTTTCCCCAGATCACATTAACGATAATGTGACAGTCCGTGGGGGTGCAGATGTTGGCACGTTCTAAAAGCAATGTTAACTTTGTTCCTTTTGGGGCCAGTATTTGGCATGCCGGTTTCACAGCTGTTTCTCAGCGGTGCTGGTACCCAAAGAACAAGCAGAAGGACCATGGGGACATGTTTATACAAGCGTGAGCCATCTCGCTTCATGGAGGGTTCACCCGCCTGCCCAGTGAAAGGCCCACAGGCTTTGGCTGCCTGGCTGCAACTCGAGCGCCCGCTGCAATCCAAGCTTGGGCCTCGAGGAGTGTGGCGGAAGCGCGGAGCACTGGCATCTCCCACATGTGCACGATGTTGGGAGCGTCAAGCACGTGCATCTCTCCTGAGCTTGCGCAGTCTGGGAAGACTGAGCTCCCCATCCCTTCCATGGGGGCTCAAAATGCAATCTGACCTCATCTGAGTTGCTCTAGTGCAGGAGTGGGAAAGGCACTTGGCGTGCGCTGTCCCCCACTGCTCCAGCGCAGCAAAGGGCAGCTCCACACGGGCCGAGAGGGAAATCCTCATCCACCGGATCTGGGGCGAGGAGCTGGCAGGGGCGAACGTGAGAGGTTCCTCCTGCCCCGCATCGCCAGCGAAGGGGCCGGTGCCGAGATGGGGCCGCGCCGGTACCGGCCCCAGCGCAGGGGACCTGGCGGCCGCCCGGCGCGCGCTCCGTCTCGGCGGCGGCACCGGGCAGCGCCACT